AACATAGTTATTGACCAGAATTTAGATAAGAATAGTTTTTATGAAGATGAAAATAGAAGAAATAAACAATGATTTAACATCAGAATAAATCTGCAGCTCTGAAATTTAAAGCACTGATGGTTCAGAGCAGCTCTGAAACATTTATGGATCCATTAATATGATTATGTTATTTTAAATTAATTCAGTTTATTGTAAAATATCAGACAGTTTTACTTTCTACTGTAAAAAAGTTAAGTGAACATTTTTTTTTTTACAAATAAATAATAATAATATTAGCTATAGATGAAAAATTACTTTAAAACTGAACAAAGGTTATTTATTTTTTAAACTTTCTTAATAACTGCATAATTCTATCATCAAGGTTGTTCAACAACCTTGATGATAGAATTATAAAGATGTGTTGATTTAGGGAGAGTGATTTATCAAGTAGCAAATATTTCAGTTAGAGGTTACAGTACGTATTAAACATTAAATATACTGAAATGTGTTAATGTTGAAAATTAGGAAAGAGAAAGAAGAACATAATAAATCATAACCTACTCTGTACAGTGATGTTGATGGCGTTGCTGAAGTGTCCTGATCCAGACTCACACCAGTACACTCCACTATCAAACCAGTATAAGCTCATGCTACATGTAGATCTGTTCATGATGTCCCAGAGGGAGCAGTCTAACAGTAAACCTGTTTCTTTAATCCACTTCACTGTCCATTCAGCAGAGTTTCCCTCACAGCTCAGAGACACAGAGTCAGAGTTGAAGTGTTGAACTCTGTCAGGACTCACTGAGAGAGACGCTGCTGGATGAGGATCTGGAAAACAACACAGCATTTAGGCTGAGCACAGAAACAACAGATAAAAGGATTATTATGGATTTTTAATAAATATGACTGCAAACATTTTGACAAAGTGATCAAACTGTGATATCCAGGGGCGGAGCTAGATGGGGGGCCAAGGGAGGCCATGGCCACCCTTAGCCACTCATTGGCCACCTCTGTCATTTTTTTCGCCCTCTAATACAGACAGTGGCAGCAGTAATACTATCAAGAGGAATGTTTAAACTTATTAAACATTTAAATTTCTCATATATCAATAGTTACTTGACAACTAAAATGCTGTGGTTAATTATGTGCATCAAAATACTAACATCACAGTTTATATAAACAGAATTCAGGCTCTTTTAAGACCCAATTTCGTGTTATAAGGGGTAAAGACTAAATGATGTCTCTGCTAGTCATCAAGGAGTTTTCAGTGAAATCATAGATAAATGACTACTTTAATAATAACTTCAAAATCCATTTAATGTAGATATTAGTACATGTCATATTAATGCTATGCGGAACAATTTTTGATTAAAGTGGGTAAGTAATGACAATGGAGAATATGTTTTCCCCAGACATTTTGTCCATTATACTTTCTAGACAGCATGGATGTTTAAACATATGCATCTATTTGTAATCAAAAGGCTGTAGGAAAGTATAGTTTGTCTTTACTTAGAAAATATGGATGTTGTTCTCGTTCCTGTTGGAACAGTGTAGATGGACCCTGAGGTTCTGGCGCCTATCTGCTTTTGGCCACCCCTCAGTTTACATTGATTTTTGACTCACCACCCCTATTAAAATTTTCTGACTACGCCTCTGGTGATATCTGTCCTTTAAATCCAATATTTTAGTGAATCTCAGACTGTACTTCCTGCAGAAACTCAGGAAGCTCAACCTTCCACAGCAGCAGCTGATCATTTTCTATACCTCCATCCTTCAGTCTGTTTTATGCTCATCTATCTCTGTGGTTTGGTTCTTATCTACAAACAGGACCGGTCCAAACTGTAATGAATAATAAAGTTTGCAGACAGGATCATGCTGATCTTCCCTCCATCCAGGATCTACACAGGTCTAGTCAATGATTGGCTGGGGATGTCTATGTGGCTATGGCATCGCTTACCCCCCTCTATTTCCACTCCTGCCTACTCTTTAGTCATAGAGCAAGATTGTGCAGGGATTAAACAGGAAATAATTTACCCTAAATCTGATAAGTTTTAATAGTTTTGAGCTTTTTAAGAAAATCAGATCAGTAAAACCTGTATCACCTGCTTATTTATTGAACATATGAAGTTTAAAACAACCTTCTAAGAGTCTTAAGTTCTTTATTATCATTTTAATCTGTGGTGGATTGTTTAGACTCTGATCATATTGGGGTTTTCTCTGGACTGTGTGAAAACCTATAAAATTACTTTGTGGAACAATTGTAGTTTAAAGGTTATGAGAACATATTTGGAAAATAAAGGTTAATTAAAGCAGGAACATTCAAACTAACAGGGTTTAATAGATCACCAAAAAAAAAAAAAAACAAATAGATGAGCCCGAAAGTTCTGCAAAACAAACTTATATACTGATGAGATCAAGATTAATCTCTACCAAAATTATGGAAAAACAGTGGAGAAATAATTAGCCACTTATGGTTTGAAGCCTTGAACTTCTTCTGTGAAGCATGGTGGTGATTATTTAATGAGTATTGGTTTAATTTCATGCTTTGGGCTACATGGCAGCTTCTGGAACAGGATCATTAATATTTATTGAACTGATGATGCTAAATTAATCCTGAAATTATTGTTCTAGAACAAT